GCCGCTTTCCTGCTTCGAGGCTAGCTGAGCCAGATCGATGTCGCCTTGGAGGAATAATGAGGCTTGTTTGGGATTGAGGCTTGAACGAGGCGGTTCTGAGCATCGATCTCTAAAAAGAGATCTCGTGTAGCTGTGATATTAATAACGAATAAGGTCTCATAATTCGACTCGGGCGCCTGGCGTCAGCCGCCCGCCAAGCCATAGTGTCGTCAAGCCCTAACCCTGAACTTGTCAATATGTGGCTGGTGAGCTGATGTTGTGGCTGGTGCTGGGCCTTATGCGCGGTTGCCCCGCGAGACGTCTCGAGTTGGGGGGGACAACAAATGGGGTCTGGGTGGGGCAAAAACTGCCTTGGGCAGCGAACCACCACTCGTCTCAGGATAACTTCTACATCCCGCCATTTCCACCACCGCTCGTCCCTTCGCATCAGGTCTTGTTTTCGCGCGCTCAGCTCTTGAACCTATCGTCCCAGTACAGCTTCATTTCCAAGTCAAAACATTCCAACACAATGGTGCGTGAAATCCATGGCCGATGGCCAATTTCTTCGGGCGCATCATGCCATTGCCCTTCTACGCCGTCTGCCCCGGGTTCTGTTCCAAACGGAACCCCGGCACCCCAAAGCAGTACCCAAGTAGGCGCGGTGGCCGCTAACAGTATGGCGCATAGGCTTCGACCAACTACAAGGAGGCGTTCTCGCTGTTCGACATTCGTGGAGTCGGCCGTGTCGCCCTCGACAAGCTCGGCGATCTCCTCCGCGCCTGCGGGCAAAACCCGACTTTGGCCGAGATCCGCGACCTCGAGAAGAGCGTTGGCGATGAATGTGAGCAAAATCTTTGACTATAGGCTCCTGGTCAACCTCCCAACTGACCCGCGCGCAAACAGTCGACTTCGAAACCTTCCAGCGCATTCTGAACCGCCCGGGCGGCTTCCGCGACCCCGGTGAACCAGAGGAATACTGCCGCGGCTTTCAGGTGTTTGACAAAGACATGACGGGATTCATTGGTGTCGGCCAGCTCAAGTACATCCTCACCAACCTCGGCGAGAAGATGACGGAAGAAGAGGTAGACGAGCTGCTCAAGGCTGTCGACACCAGCTCAGGACAGGTCAATTACACAGGTAGGAGGTATTTCTCTTGTGATTTTGGACGCTTGCTGACGTGACGCATCAGAGCTCGTACGCACCATCCTCTCCAACTAGAGGTCATGAGGAGACGGGGGTTACGAAGAAGCCACGGGCCTGTTTGGCAACGGGGCCGATCTACGACATGGCAGTCACGGAGGAAGGCATTGCATTGGTTGCGTGATGGGCGGCTGGCGTTGGAGTTGTGCGATCTGGGTTGTATTAAATTTGGGCGCCTGGATTGGTATTGATGATGCACCATTCAGGACTTGGGATAGGACACACAGGTTACTACCTAGATAGCAATAGGAAGTCATTCCACCAAGTGCTGGCTGATACCTAGGTAGAGTCTGAAAATCGGATGCTCAACTTTGCACAGAGGAGCGAGGGGCATTTTGACTTGAGGTGGGGGAAGGACCCTGGCCCAGTGATATCAAGGCTTGGCGTCAATTGCGGGCCTGGAGGTGTTGCATCCAAGACAAGACCATGATCGTTTTCGTGTCAGATTCGACCGCGACTGAACACAAACCAAGCAACCTGAGCCTTTCGTGATTGACTATCTCCAATGCAACGAATAAAGCAAGCCATCGCCAATTGAATAACCCGAGATTTCTCGCACAGAAAATCCTAGGCTTAATGCCCACCTTGATGCTCCATCCTGACCTCTCGCTCGGACTTGTAAGGTGTCTGCCTGTCTGCGTTTGTCCAACGCCGCTTGCTGTCCCACCCCGAGCTTCCCCGCAATTGGGCTTACAGTTGGACCCCGCGGTCCTCAACGTTTACACACATTCGCTCCCAACAAGCCCCCCTTCCATCTTTCACCCTGGCGCCCGCTGGTCCCCCGATTCGGCAGGCTGTCTTCCTGCTGTTGCTGTCCGTCCTCCTCTTCTCCACGACCACCGTCATCCTGGCCGCCCCACGCATCGCCCCCCGCCTTTTTGCCCTCTTCACACAGCTGAAGTACAACAAGGCCCACCAGCAAACACCCCTAGGAGGAGCCTTTAGTGCTGTCACGACTGGCCGTCCTGCTCTGGGCACTTTGACCCTCACCTCTCAGCTCTCCTACTTCACCCACGCCCCAAACGTCAACATGACCGAGTACGCAAACCCCCCGCAGCCGCCGCCGCTGTTTACAGGCACCAAGGAGAGCATCGTAGCCGATTCCAAGGGCCTGTGTGACCGCACTCGCTCGCTTCTGGACTCCCTCGTTGCCGACATCAAGCCGACCGAAAACCCTGCCGCTGCCACCTTTGAGTCGGTGATCCGTCCGCAAACTGAGGACGAAAACGAGAGCTCCCTCAGCGCCCGCATCCTCGGCTTTTACCAATATGTGTCCGGGGACAGTGCCCTCCGTGACGCCTCCACCGAGGCCGAGAAGATTATGGACGAGTTCTCCATCGAGTGCAGCATGCGCGAGGATGTCTTCCGTCTCGTCGACGCCGTCTACAACAACTCGGGCCTCGCCGCGAGCATCGCAGTGGACAAGGAGCGGCTGATCGACGCTAGTCTTGCCAAGAGCGCTGGCCTAGACGACGTCGAGAGTGCGAGGCTACTAGAGAAGGAGAGGAAGAGCTACATTAGAAACGGCCTGGGTCTGCCCGAGGGCCCAAAGAGGGACCGGTTCAAGGAGATCAAGAAGAGGCTGAGCCAGATCCAGATCGCGTTCCAAAAGAACCTGAACGAGGAGAACAACGGTCTCTGGCTGACCAAGGAAGAGCTTGACGGTGTCCCGCAGGATGTGCTTGACACCCTGGAGAAGGGAACTGGTAACAACGAGGGCAAAGTCCGCCTCTCCTTTAAGTACCCCGACCTCTTCCCGACTTTGAAGTTTGCCAAGAACCCCGATATCCGCCGGAAGGTCTTCATTGAAAACGAGAACAAGGTATGTTCGCAATCATGGGCGATTCTAAGTAGCCGTGCCAACGCTAACACTCGTGCAGTGCAACGAGAACGCTCCCCTCTTCAAGGAGGCTATCCTCCTTCGTGACGAGGCCGCGCGCCTTCTTGGCTACCCCGACCACGCCTCGTTCCGTATCGAGGATAAGATGGCCAAGACACCAAAGACAGTGCTGGACTTCTTGGGGGACCTCAAGAGTCGTCTCGCGGCCGGTGGTGTCAAGGAGATCGAGCATCTCCTAGCGCTCAAGAAGAAGGACCACGAAGCCCGCAACCTGCCGTTTGATGGCAACTACTACCTCTGGGACCACCGCTTCTACGACCGCATCATGGTTGAGGAGGAGTACAGCATCGACGAGAATGCCATTGCGGAGTACTTCCCGCTCACTTCGACTGTTGCCGGCATGCTCCGCATATTCGAAGAGCTATTTGGCCTCGTCTTTGTCGAGCTCACGCCCGAGGACCGCAAGCGCATCTCCTCAACCGGAAAGGCCGAGGATATCGCCTGGCATGAGGATGTAATTATTTTCAGCGTCTGGGACGATGAGAGCGAAGGCAATGGTTTTGTCGGCTACCTCTACCTCGACCTGCATCCTCGCCCCGGCAAGTACGGCCACGCTGCCAACTTCAGCCTCCAGCCGGGCTTCCTGAAAGCCGACGGCACCAGGCGGTACCCTGCCACAGCCCTCGTCTGCAACTTCAGCAAGCCCACCGACAAGAAGCCATCCCTCCTCAAGCATGAAGAGGTGGTAACCCTTTTCCACGAGCTCGGCCACGGCATTCACGACCTGGCCGGCCGTACCCGCTATGCTCGGTATCACGGCACGTCGACTGTCCGCGACTTTGTCGAGGCGCCCAGCCAGATGCTCGAGAACTGGTGCTGGACTCCCAGCCAGCTCAAAAGCTTGAGCAAGCACTACGAGTCGGGCCAGCCGATCCCGGATGACCTCATCGAGAAGCTGATCGCCACCAAACATGTAAACGATGGCCTCTTCAACCTCCGCCAGCTGCATTTCGGCCTGTTTGACATGACCGTCCACACCCCCAAGACGCACGAGGAACTCGAGAAGCTGGACGTCAGCAAACTGTACAACGAGCTGCGCGTGCAAATCTCCCAGATCAAGGGCCCTGAAGCACAGGGTGAACCTAGGTGAGCCACCCACCCCTTTACTAACAATTGAGACTATGCTGACGACGGCTCGCGCGTAGCACATGGGGCAACGGCCAGGCCACGTTTGGCCACCTGATCGGCGGATACGATGCCGGTTACTACGGCTATCTGTCCTCGCAGGTGTACTCGACCGACATGTTCTACTCGGTCTTCAAGGCCAACCCAATGGACCCCACTCAGGGCCGCCGGTACAGGCACACGGTGCTCGAGAAGGGCGGGTCGCAGGACGAGATGCTCACCCTCGAGCAGTTCCTGGGGAGGAAGCCGAGTTCCGAAGCCTTTTACAAGGAGCTGGGGCTCGATTCTTGAACGTGCCTGGTAGCAAAGGGTTGCATGTAACTACACCGGGTGCGCGGCAATCAAGCGCCATCTATCAGGGTCGTAATGTAGTCAAGCCCAGAGCTTAGCATCTGGATCCGTTGTGGTCGGGGAGCTTAAAGAAAGTCCACCAGTTGAGATTGCACAGTACCGGCACATGCCGCTGTCCATGGTTCTTAAGTGCATATCATAGTGAGCAACAACCGCCCAGGCTTCAGCCGTGAGTGGACTGACACGCGTCGTCAGGTGATATCGTGTGTTCACCCCGGCCTTCTCCCATCTCGAGGTTCTTTTGCCTTCAAATTACCTAAATTGGGTTTCGACCAACCAAATCATCTGCATACTTCGTGTTTAACTAGGTACCTATTGCATATTCACATCTTTCTTTGTTTTTACCTGGTCATTTGGTCTCCTACTCAGCTCGACCAACCCCATCCGCCGAGGCCGCGAGGTCTCTTGGACAGCCATGCGCACGACAAGCTCCAACAAACAGCCAGCCCGGTTAGCTCAGCTGGTTAGAGCGTCGTACTAATATTGTGGGGGTCAAACCCTGCTATATCATGTCATGCGAAGGTCAACAGTTCAATCCTGTTACTGGGCAAATGAGTTGGGGCAATTAAGATTTGTTTTTTGATGGTTTTTTTTTTTTGAGTTCCATGGTGGAGTGTTATGGGGTTACGGGTGGGTGGATGAATGGGTGGAGGTAACTCAGCAGGCGGTGGGGGTTGGACGCATGCATGGTGGGGTGAGGTGAGGGCGGTGTTTTTGCCCCTGAGCGTGGGGGGCCGGAGGAGGGTTGAACCCTGGCCGTTCCCAGTTCCTGTCCCGAATTTGAGGATTGCAAACGGGCCGTCTTCGGGCTGTTGTGGGTTACGCGAAGAATCCCATGGCTCACGGAGAGGTTGGTCCAAGGACACCAGAATTTATCATTGTGGCGGTTCTCAACCCTGTTTTGTAGCGCAGATACAAATACAAACTTCCTAACATGCGGGCTCGCTATGATACGCAGACTCCAGAATCCAAACACCGTAAACCAACTACTCCTGCCAATGCTCTCCAACACATGATTCGTCAAGGCCTCTCTCGTAAAAGACTGCGCAACGGCCGGGTTGCCATTGCCTGCAAGCACCTCGGGCGCGCAGTGCGTATCGTAGTGCCCCACAAACTCCCTAAACCCCGAGCGAATGTAAAGAACAAAGCCGAATCGCCCCCTTAACCGATGGGCGCGCAGCTGTACGGGTCCGAAACCGACCCGACTTCGTACCGATGCCTCTGGGTCAGGGTTAGCAATCGTTCGCAAAATAGGTCAGGAAGGTGATCATGCTTACAATATCCCATATAGCAGAGTAAGTCCCGACGCCCAGCACAGTAATGCCTACGATAAACGACACAGCGTTGGCGGCTGTCCGAGCCCAATTCTTGCGCTCGAACCATTTCCCTTCCATGATGAACATGAACCACATGATGGGAGGGAAGTAGAAGGTAAAAGCCGAGATGAACAGCGACGAGCAGATGGCCAGCAGGTCCGAGAAGAAGGGGACGGCGCCAGCAATGACCCATGACAACAGCGTGATAAGGGCGTCCAAACCAATCCATGTGGCCCAGCCCATGGGCGTGTTGACGTAGCGGATGACCGAGTTCTTGAACGCGCGCCCGTGGATGTAGCGCGCCACCACGGTCGTGTTGATGCTGCCCGAGATGAAGATGACGGGGAGGGCGATGCCGAAGGCCACCTTGGACACCAGAGGGCCGGCCGACAGCAGGGCGGGCGACTTGACATCTGGGCCGACAAAGACGTATACCAGAGCACCCGTGATGGTGTAGAGAAAGATCTCGAAGATGCCGAGCGACATGATCGCCTTGTCGTAGTCCTGGGGCGTGTGCATCTCGTCCATGAAGCTGAACTGGCACAAGGCAAAGCTGTAGGCAAACACGATATTGCTGATGGCGATGAAGGCTTCGGCCAACGACAGGTTCTCCTTGGGCCATGCAGACCACGCCACGGACGCGAGACCGCCGGGCAGCTCGCTAGCACGCACACCGGTGGCGACTATGGTGATGAAGATGGCGGCGACGATGGACGCGAAATCGATGTAGCCGAGGATAGCCATCTCGGAAAAGCTGGGCGGGATGGCGATAAGGAAGAGGATGATCCCCGAGACGACGGTGAAGACGATGGTGCACGCGCCGTTGTCGGTAAGGTTTCCGAACATGATGGCGCCAGTCAAGACGTGCGAGCCGGTGGTGAAGACGAGCTGTAGGACGAACATGACGCTGACAATCTCGTAGCCGATGTTGCCAAACATCATGCGGCCGGCGTCGGTGTAGTGTGAGATGTGCGGGTACTTGAGCTTCATCTGACCGATCACGTAGCTGGAATACAGGGCAACAAGGCCGATTCCGACCGTGAGGATAACACCGGCCACCATGCCGAGGGTCGCAAAGGCGCCCGGAAGACTGAGACTGCCCAGAGCAACCGCCGTCACGATCAGCACGATGGTGAGACGCTTCCAACCGAGCTGGTGGAAATGCGCCTCGCCCTCGGCCATCTTCTGCTTCTCGTAGTCGTTCATCGCGGCCGTGGGCCGCACCTCGCCCACAGCATCGTCGGATTCTGACTGCACGACACCCGAATCAGAGGTGTCGAAGGGGTCCGCCTTCTTGTCCGAGGACTTGGTGTCCGTGGTGGGGTTGATAGCCGCCATGGTTGATGACCGGCACGGTGTTGCGAGATGATATCTTGTCACCTTCGTTGTCTGCGAACTGGCGGGTGTTGAAACCAGAACAGGCGAGGCACGGCGGCTGTAGGTAGCCAAGCAAGCGTTGCTGCACCGACACCAGAGGTCCTTCCGGGCTTGACCTTTATAAAGTAGGCGAGCGGGTGAGAGGGAAGGGGTGTTCCCGCGCGTCCTCAAAAGGTCAGTTGCCTGGGCCGTGGGAACAAAAAGGAGCAGGAGGGAACACAGCGAGACCACGACGTTTACTTGTAAGCGGATCTGCAGGGCCATCAGCCAAGGTCAGAGTGTTGAATCGACACTTGCCGACAAATCCCTGCCTTCGAAGCCGACTTCGGTTGATATCGCGTCCGGAAACCCCGGCACAAGCGTGTTCCTATCGCCCCTTCGACAGGGCTCCCGAGCTTAGCCCTCTTGTCCCCGACTTCCTCGGGCACCCCGTAGTTCATCCCACCAGTCGGAGCATTACGATGACACTGTTCCCCCGGATCCCCAGGTTCCTAGATCTCGCCAAAGTCATCACGGGGCCGCGCCTCGATCGTGCGGAAGGCTCCAGGGTCCTACATTGCCCGCTGTTCGTCCGCTCCTTCTAGAAGCCCACCCGTCCCCGGATTCCTCGCACTCCATTCGTGTACCTGCGGGTGATGGCAAGGGTGGCGGGTATTGCGGCGATTATCAATAGCTGCTTGTCATCGGATGAAACTGGCATGGCATGGTCCCTCGTCGGTATCCATATCAGGGAATTCCCGGGGTTTCGTTCGATAATCTCCGCTCATGATCCAGGCGGATACACAGCAATGTGGAATAGAATGTCGGTGATGTCCAACCACAGGAGGGGCGATGGTAACCTGAGTGGCTGGAACCTGCCGTTCGCCGAAGTTACGCTAGGTACGTCCCCTGCCGCGAAAACGTGACGCTAAAAAAAGCTTGACGTCCGGTAGTGAGGTACCTACTATGCATTCCATCAATAGACGTACACTACACAGTACAAAGTAATATACTTAATGCCCTTTCTCCAGGTTTTGACACGTAACAAAAAAAGAAAACCCGCCGAGGGTCACCAGGCTTCCGAGCCAAACATGTAAGCAAAGGACCTCGGGAGAGACAGCTCGCAAGAGCGAACCCGACCCGCCCCAGGTCGGGCCTTCCATGCCTCGCATGCTCCATATCTGGATCAGTGCAACGCCCGTCCAGACTCCAGTACGCCACTGTAGGCTCCACAGTTGTGTGGGCAAGAGGCTCGGGTGGATGCTCGAAAAGAAATTGGTTGGCCACTCGGCCAGGAACAGATCCTCGACCGGCTCGAGGAGCGGACCAAAGCAAAGGTTCAGAATGTTTTGCCCGTTTGTTGACAATCGTGCTGCGCACGTTCCGAAAGTCGAGGGTTGTGATTGACGGAGAATAATAAGCTCGGGTGTCGAAGGTGAGGGAAATAGGGAAAGAGGCTCGAGGTCAACACCACGGTGATCATCTCATAACGTTAACGTTTGTCATGTCAAACCGTGCTCTGCCAATCATAGACAGTTTTGGCGCGACAGGGGACATTGAAACTGGATCTCAACTCCGCAACAACTTGCCGAGTTTCGAACGAGGCCGGTGATTGCCGCGTAAGCGGGTCCGCAAGATGCTCGACGTCGGTGACGGATACGGGAATTGGTCTCGAGTCCAGTTCCTTGCTTCGTCCTGTCTATTATTTGTTGGCTTCTCAAGCCGGTGGTTCTGTGACGTAGTGGGTTGCCTCGGCGCAACGCTTGTTGTTCCATGGTCTGCTTTGCGAGCTTAGGTCACGTGGAACAGGTTAACCCTAACCTGAAAGACATTGCTGCGTGACTGTGGCTTTGCAGGTGTGGCATTTTGGATGTGGCGTCAAAGCCAGCCCCACTATCCGTACCTCACTAAGCCCACAACAGCAAGTAAACAAACCCGGCGCTACCGTCCAATCATGGCTGCCCGTCGGTATTTTGGCAATGCGGCTTCCTCCCCGCCATCGTTTCGAGTTCAACGAGCGCAACCACCAGCCTGGAAACGCCCAATAAGCGCATTTCTTTAGCTTAGGCTCTACGACATTCATTTAGATACGCGCCCCCATATGCATGAGTCACGCAACGCGAGTCCCCCTCCTTGAAGCCGCGCCCGCGTCAACACTCGACTCCTACCTCGCTTCCGCCACAATCCGAATTATTCTTTGAGGACGCGACGCGCTCCTGAGATCGCTTCCAACCATCGCCGTGAAGATGGACGCCGATGATCAATATTTTGCCTTCGAGAACCGTCTCAACTCGTTCCAAGGCGCGCAGCCCGTATCCAAAGGGAAAGCCTCAACCGCCGGCTCGCGCGCGCCCAAGGCGCTTCTCTGGCCACACAAGACACTTTCACCTTTGGCCGTGAGTCTCCAGCTCCATAAGTTGTCAGCAAAACTTGACTGACGCGTTCGATCCAGCTCGCAAAAGCCGGATTCTTCTTCCAGCCGCACCCAAAGAGTCCAGACAATGTGGTGTGCTTCCTCTGCGAAAAGTCCCTCGACGGATGGGAGGAAACCGACAATCCGCTAGAAGAGCATCTGAAGCATTCGCCAACATGTGGCTGGGCTATCATGGCGGCAATTGAAGCCGGCTACGGTAACTACGGGAAGGTGCACCCCCTCGACCCAGCCATGATCGAGGCGCGGAAAGCGACATTTGCAGGGCGCTGGCCGTACGAGTCCAAAAAGGGGTTCAAGTGCAAGACCAAAAAGGTAGGCGCGCCCCTATTGAGTTAGGGAGTCCAAGACTAACAACCTTGGCTGCAGCTTGTCGAGGGCGGCTGGAAGTTCACGCCATCAACCGAAGCGGATGACATGACCACCTGTGCCTACTGCAATCTCGCA